TCCAATTAAGAGAACCGTACCTACGTCCGCGCTGATCAATTTTTCGCCGTTTGAGCAAGATAAAACAAGAAATGACGATGCTTATATCGATATACCGGTGATTTTAAAATATCGATTGACCACCGATTTTCCAAAGGTAATCTTAAAAGGCTACGTTATCTAACAGAAATTTTAACAGGCAACGTTGTTTAACAGAAATGTAAGAATACATCCTTTTTCTAACAGAAAGTTAAAGAGCAACGTTGTCTAACAGGAATGTTATAAATGAGCCTTGTCTAACAGGAATGTAAAAAAAGCAACGTTGTCTAACAGTAATTTTAAGAGGCAACGTTGACTAACAGAAAGTTAAAAAATAATCATGTCAAAATCCTTTTCACACAAGCGTCTATTAAATGTGCCTGATTCCATTGGTGCATTTAGCATTTATATACTGCTACTCCGCCATGTGTGTGGCACCAATAGCTGATCTGGTGTTGTTTACTTTTAAATTGTCGCAAATCAAAACGAAATGAATTGAAAATCATGAATATGAACGAGTTTACGGAAATCTTTAATGCTCAGCAGCACATTCATAATGTATCGAGGCGTTTGCCTACTTGGACGACAATAATAAGGACGGATTTGCCAATACAATTTCTAAAAAAGAGCAAAGATTCCCGTTTATGTGGGAGTTTATGCCGGCCAGAGATCCAGCAGTAATGCAAAATATCGTTTAGTATCAGTATTTTCCGGTATTTTTTTCTAAAAACGTTTGGGTCGAATGATTTTAAATCGCATTTACTTATCTCATTTATTTAAATGACGCTTTGTCTTATGGGAATTCCTGTGTAAATAAATGAGCATTGGGCTAAATGCTTTGTAATGCGCCAATGGAATCCGGCTATAAAATGAAATGTTGAGCATTTTAATAAAAAAAAAACACATGAAAAGCCCTTCAGGTATTACATATATAAAGTATAAAGTTTCGTGTACTTTATATATTTGAAAAAAGTATGTACAAAGAACACAAACACTCAATTACTTTAAAACGCATTTAGCCTAATGCGCATATATTAATACATTTTTTACAAGTCAAACAATTTATTTCTGAGACCTTGTTTGGTTTAATGGACCTGTAATAAATGTATAAATAGGTCAAAATTGGGTCCCTTCTAATGAGAATGCAATCATATTGGCACAACCTCTATGAAAGACATATTAACTATAATATAACTAAGCGTCGAAAGTTGTGCGTTTTTATAAGGTAAATGTCTCGGATCATGAAGGTCCCAGCAGGCGTAGCCAGTGTTACCATGTGGGAAAATGGCACGTTTGAAAACACTTGATTATCAAGAAATTAAACGGTTTGAATAGCATGTAATAAATATGCAAATTCATTTTTATAAAGTTGCCCTATCTAATGAAAATGCGTGCATGTTGGCACAACTTTTATTAAATAAACCAAAATTTAGCTTCGAAATTTTTTTTTTCATTTGGCTAATGATATGGATGGAATTTTACATTGAGGTTTGTGTCTTGGTTCAGTGGTTCGTTTGAGCGCCTTCCTTTTTAACTTTTTTGCACCCCCACTGTTAAGCAATTTTCTCAAAAACTAACTAACATTACCTTGAGATTTTGACAACACGTTTTTAGACGATCCCTAATCTGCCTATGTACCGTGAACATTGGCACAACCTCTGCAAGAGGAGCCCTTTGTAATTTAATTTTGGTCCGCCTGAGGCTGACTTACTGTTAGACGATTATTACAACAACTGTCGATTTCATTTTGATAAAACTTTCTGAAAAGAAGCTTGAATTAATATTGGCCCAACCTCTGTGAAGGAAATAGTTGGCAAAATTGTGGAGACCCGACTTTTCAAATGCATATTTTAAATACGGTTGGAATTTTCAACAAATGTGAAACTCAACAGGTCAGCCATGTTTGTATTGCATAAATTAGTTCGTCAAAGTCCGTCTAATTTTAACGGCTGACTAATGCCATAAGCTGATCTGAACAGCTGTGGCTCGTCAAAACGTAAACAATGTCAACAGGTCAACCATCTTTGTTTATGTTAAGATCAGCTGAAATAGGCTATTAAAGACCGCCCTGAAAAAGTGTTGCTAACGCGACTGTGATTTTAGACGGATGGTGGCTCTGTGTGAACACCAGTCCACCATCCATCAAAAATCTTAATACGGGTATGACATTACATTGGTGGCCTCATTCACTAACTAATTCATTAAAGCTCAGAGACAGAGACAACTACATGGATACTGCTTGAGATTTTTTGGTTATATAATCACGGTCACACTGCCTGTTTAACGTTAAATTTAAACTTTATGGTTTTATTTGTTATATTGTGTTTATTCCGCTACTTTTAACTTTTAAAAGTTTTCAGTTGTTACCTTTTAATGGTAAAAAATATTTGATATACATTTAAGTCTCGCTTTTTCATTTCGTTTTGTCGTCAAATCCAATAAATGAGCAAAATTGTAATTTTTAAATACAATTTTGCTCATTGATATGTCGGCCCCGGTGGTATTTCATCGAATGGTATTTTTATACGAAATGACGGTGAATATTTTTTACTATAGGGTATCGGTTCTGACAATTTTCCACATTCATTGCTCATTGGAATCGTCATAAGTTGTCTTGCTCGCACTTACGTAAAATCGTATAGTTAAAACAAAAAATGAGCAATGAATGAGGCCAAAAATGTAGTGTCATAAGCCCATAACAGCTTCGTTAGGATGGGCACTGTGGGACTCTGCTATAGAGCTGTAAAACAATCGATAATACTACCGATATTATCGATGGCGGTTGTGCTGCGGGTCAACGTAGATTATTTTCGCCACCATCAATGCGTCGAGCGGAACAACCAAGTCTGGAGCATTTAAGCATGCTATTAATGCTAAAAAATTACATACTATATTAAATACTAAATTTTTTTACCATATATTATGTTATAGCCTGATTCCATTGCCGCATTAGTGGACTTTTTAATTGTGTCTGATTCCATTAGCGCTTTAGCATTTAGCTAATGCTACTCCGACATTTAAGTGCAGCGTGCACTCATGGTTTCAGTAATTTTTATACAAAATAGAAATTATTTTCAAAAGACATCAAAAATTGCGCCAACCTGGCATATAGAAAATAGTTGTTGTAGTGATGGCACGAACAAAATATCGTTAAACTTCGGGGTTTTCCGGTATTTTTTCTAAAAACGTTCGGGGCGAATTTAAATGCGGCACTTAGCCTTATTGAATTCCCTGTATTAACAAATGCGTATTAGGCTAAGTGCCTTTTAATGCGCCAATGGAATCAGGCTATAACTTAATTTTCTAAGCAATAGATTTAATTTTTGTTTGGCTCAATGTCGACCGTAGAACGGATTTCATTGTTTTGGTCTGTATAAATTCTAATAATATTAATTTCAACAAATTGAAACTGTAGTACAAAGACCTATAGCAACAATAAAGCATTCAAAAAAAATGTTTCTAGGTCGACAGTATCGATATTATCGATTGCTTAAACTATCACTACCAAAAATAATAAGTGGGGTCACTATCGAGGTTTTTATAGCTCTCCTGTGCTATAACCACACGTTTCTAGTCAATATGTAACCGATTTTTTGCTTGCAATGTAACCGTAAAACAACTTGTTCTAGAAGGTGTTTATTCCCAACTGGAATGTTTCGACTTCTATTTTCTGGTTAAACCAAAAATCGAATTCCTTCGTATAGCCTCAATAATAGTTTATAGTTAAAAACCAATGTGGGAAATTAAAAATTTAATAAATAAATATCGAATTTTGAATGAAGATAACTAAAACGAGCGCAGGAACAACAAATATCACAATATATAGTTGTAAAAATTCTCTTGATCATTATTAAGTTACATAAATTTACCTAAAATCATGACTTTCAATACTTTTATTTGCATTTAATAGCCTGATTCCATTGCCGCATTAAAACGCATTTAGCCAAATGAGCATTTATTTACACAGGGAATCCCATAAGGCTAAATGCCGCACTTAAAATAAATGCGATTTTTAAATGCGATTAAAAACCATTCGCCCCGAAAGTTTTTAGAAAAAATACCGGATAATACCGATGTTTAACGATATTTTCTTCGTGCCACCACTACAATTTTTAATGTCTTTTGAATATAAAATCTATTTTGTATAAAAATGACTGAAACCTAAAGCGCACGCTGCAAATTCTGCTCGCAGTACCACAATGCATTACTGTTGGATTTTTGGCATTTAATAACTCTCACATATACGGGGATCCTTGCCCTTTTTAGAAACTGTGGTGGTCTCCATTGCAAACCCGTCATAACAACGCAATCAGTTTCTCTTCTTTGTCATCCAAGTTGGCAAATGTCTCGGTCGCAATATGGATGTCCTGCTGAGCATTACAGAGTTTAGTAAACTCACTCATGTTCAATAATTTTAATTATTTTCTTTTGGATTTGCCAAAATTCAGAAGTGTACAAGCCCAGATCAGCTGTTAGTGCCACTCACATGTCGGAGTAGCGTTTACTAAATGCTAATGCGCCAATGGAATCAGGCACATTTAAAAAGTCGACTAATGCGGCAATGGAATCAGGCTATAAAACAATTCAAAAGGAAAACGGATCGATCAAGTGTCGGTGTGGCATTTGCATTAGCTGAATGGCGCAAATGGAATCAGGCTATAATGCCCTCTTTTCACACAGTCCATCCGTTGGAAACGGTTGGATTTTCAACAAATGTGAAACTCCGATTTCCACAAAGCACATCAACCTTCACCCTTCCGATTTCAGCTGATCCGAACAGCTGTGCCTTGTCAAAACGTAAACAATGTCAACAGATAAACCATCTTTGGTTATGTTTTGATAAGCTACAGCTGTTATGAACAGCTGAAATCGGAAGGTGGATGTGCTCTGTAGGAACAACGGTTTTTTAGGGATGAACTGCGTGGGAAGAGTGTTGCACTGCAGAAACATCGGCTAACTATCGCATAAATTAGTCCGTCAAAGTCCGCTGTTGCAAACGTAGCTAATCGGCCTACAAGAAAAAAAAAAACCGCAAAGGAATAAAACGTAAAATTATCAAATTAACTGGATAACACCGCAGTACTAAATTCAATTTTTTTTTCGTTCCTCACAGGTTGCTCAGCTTTTCGTCTCACAAGTTAATGTACTTCACAGTAGTTGCACTATTTGAACGCTCCTAGATACTTTCCCTTGTTAGGTTTTACTTACTTGCTTGCGGTCCTCACCCCTAAAAACAGCAAACAAATAATTCTCAATTGACCACAATTTCTAAAGATTTATCATTAATAATTAAAGATGCGGACGAACATGGTTGGTGTGTTTTACTTTAAATAAATAAAAATACGTATTGGCTTTTCATTCGTTGTTACATAATAATAATTCTTAAGTTCAAGAAAACTTGGTAATTATATAATTATTATTGTCCGCGACTTAATTATAATCGATAGACATCGTTCTCTAAAAAATCGAGGTGACCAACATAAAATGTTTAAAGTGTTTGACCTGCTTTTGCTGACCATTTGGAGTCAGTGTGGAGACAGTGTGGATTACATACCTCAATTTAAAAAAATAAAGCCGTAATTAAAGAAAAAATTTACAAAAACCTGTACATTACTAGATAACACCCAATCGTCTTTGTATAGGTATTTTTATTCAAATACATTTAATCAGCATTTTTGAGCACCACCGTTTGTGTTGACTCAAACAAACAAACCCAAAACATAAACAAAAATCCCAACCGATTTCAATGGAGTCCGTAAAAGTCCGTGAAATTTTACGGCGGACTGATTGGAAAGTTTTTGGAACGGCAAATTCTTATGGACCATCTCTTCAAAGGATGGTTGAAGGTGGATGAATTTCTGTGGAAATACGCTATTACTGTCTTAAATCCCAACCAGCGGGTGCTGGTCGTAAGTCGATTAGTGCATATGGGTCTTAAATAATTGTATATCAATATTGGCATTACCCAACACTAATTTCCTCCTTTTGACAACTACAGTCAACGTGATTCGACCTTTTCCGGTTTATTCGTTGAACATGGCAGTCGGCAAAAATAAAGGTCTTTCCAAGGGTGGCAAGAAGGGCGGCAAAAAGAAGGTAGTCGACCCGTTTTCTCGCAAGGACTGGTACGATGTCAAGGCTCCAAATATGTTTCAAACCCGTCAAATCGGTAAAACGCTTGTCAACCGCACCCAGGGTCAGAGAATAGCATCCGATTATTTGAAGGGTCGCGTTTTTGAAGTCTCTTTGGCAGACTTGCAAAAGGATATTGATCCAGAACGTTCTTTCCGTAAGTTCCGTCTTATTGCCGAAGACGTTCAAGACCGCAACGTGCTGTGTAATTTCCACGGCATGGATCTTACTACTGACAAGTACAGGTTAGTGTCTAAATATTAGTATTTATTTGGCTTTTTTTTTTTTTTTTTGTATAAAGCGTAACTGGTTACTAGAAAATCTATATATTTGCTAGGTCCATGGTGAAAAAATGGCAAACACTTATTGAAGCTATTGTTGAAGCCAAGACTGTCGATGGGTACCTTTTGCGAGTGTTTTGCATTGGATTTACCGCCAAGGATCAGCAGTCTCAGCGCAAAACATGCTATGCTCAACAATCGCAAGTCCGCAAGATTCGCGCTAGAATGACTGACATAATAACTAACGAAGTCAGCGGTGCCGATCTGAAGCAACTGGTCAACAAACTGGCATTAGACTCGATCGCCAAAGATATTGAGAAAAGTTGTCAGCGTATATATCCTTTGCATGATGTTTACATCCGTAAAGTTAAGGTATTGAAGAAGCCGCGTTTCGATGTCTCAAAACTGTTGGAGTTGCATGGTGACGGCGGTGGAAAATCTGTCGAAGCCGTCGTGTCCACCGAGGGAGCTGTAATCGACCGCCCCGAAGGCTATGAGCCTCCAGTGCAGGAAGCTGTCTAAAATGGATATAACATGCATATTTTATAATGTATTGCATCCAGAGCTAAAATACATTACTCCACAAATTGCATAAACTTATTTTCAGGGTTTTTGTGTTAGTCTGTGGGCTTTTGGGATATATTGCATTTTTTAGGTACCGTGCTTGTGTCTGGCTTTTTTCTAACCCTAAATGTGGTATGTATATTGTATGTAATCAGAAGTTACTGGTTATAACTTTTAATTGTTCGATTATTCTAGGACTTGCTAAAAATAAAAGGGCAAATCTACGGACCCAAGGTATGTTCAGAAATATTAAATTTATTATAAACCGTGAAAATAATATATGCAGAAACAATTTCTCAAATATTTCCTGCGATTAATACGACAGGGCCTCTACCTGCATTTTATTTAAGGCATCCTTATGACTAGATTCTGTGTTTCAAAAAGTTTATACTAATAATTAATGTTTTGATAATTTATACCAAAACAATAATCTTCCCAACTTTGTTAAATCGTCTTAACAGTTAAACAATCTGTTTAAAATTTATTTTTAACTTTTTATTAATTAATCAATTTATTGCATTTATTATTTTATTTTTAATTTATTCATGGTGAACAACACAAATATATTATTTAGAAAAAATCAATTAATTAAATATTTAAAATGCATTTTATTTGATTTTGCATGTTATATTAACAAAAATATGTTGCATATATTATTTTAGCGAGATTAGTGTGATGATATGTTATTTTTCGTCTCTGTTATTATATGATGAAAATTCTAGTCCTGAAATCTTTTTCACAGATAAAAATGATTATGGATATTAAATATATTCAAACAACGCCGTCTTTTTTGTATTTGCAGGTTGCCGACTTCTCCACAGATTGTTTAAATAGGGATTTAAAATTTCTTTCACATTTCAAAAAATCGATTTTCGTAATTTGTTTTTACAAAGGGTCTTTGAAATATATTTATTAAGTTGCATTTTGCAGTTATCACTTTTATGGACTTTATAACTTTTTTTTTGGCTATTAGATTTCAAATTATAAAAAACAGGAACCTGTAATATGTTATCTTACTGATTCAAACCTTATATATAAACAGAATGTGAGACTTTTTTCACAGAAAACTGATCTATCGGTTAAAGCTTGCATTTGGATACCTTAAAAACCAGAGATTGCATATATGGGACCTTATACATTAGCATTAATGGTCAAGTCGATATAGTATGTTTATCCGTTTCTACGCAAATTAATATTAAACTATTTATATACTGTTGAAAGTATACATGAATAAATAAAAATAAATTTGTAAATTATAACTTCATTGTTATTCAAACGTTACGCACATTTCAAAAATATAACTAAACGATAAAAATCAGACGCCTATATCATACAACTGAGGGTTTTTAAGTTAGTCTGTTTAGGAAAGGTCTTGCTGCGTTTTAGGTATTGTACGTGTGTCCGGTAATTTTCAAACGTTAAATGTGGTATGTAGTAAATCAGAAATTACTGGCTAAAACCCCTAATATTTTAAATATTCTAGGATTTGCTAGAAATAGAGGAAAAAATCTACGGACCCAAGGTATGTTCAGAAATATTTAATTTATTATTCAGTGTGAAAACAAAATATGCGGCAAAATCAATCGTCACGACGGCCACTTCCTACATTTATTAATATATCTTCACATGATTAGATTCTGTGCTTTAAAATGTTCTTAATTATTTTGACAAAGCATAAAACTTATCTTTATATATATTAATAATTTTTTTTTTTTAATTTGTTAAAAGCTCTTTTTTTTTATTTATTTAAATTTGTTAAGCAATAGCAAAAATACCAAATGCATCTGATTCGCAAGGGACAACGCAAGCTAATTATTTAGAAACTCCTTTAAATATTTGAACCGCATATTATTTTGACAAAATTAGTGTGATGAAATTTTATTTTTCGTCTCTGTCATCATATGATGATAATTCTAGTCCTGAAATCAATTTTGGAAAATAATATTTATTGATTTAATATCATTGAAACAATGCAATCCTTCTTTGTCTTTGCAGGTCTGCTTATCTGTGCACAGAGTGTATTAAAAAGGGATTTCAATTTTGTTTAACATTTTCAGTTGCGGCTCGCAAAATATTCAGTTTTCTTAGTTTGGTTTTGCATTCATTACACTGTATTGGCGTTAGCGTTTGAGAAAATGCACTTCAAAATTGTACAAATTTATAATTTATGAATCTCAATAACAGGTGAGCGGATTCGAGTGATTGAAATTCTATATAAACATGGCCAAAAGCCACCATTTGGTTGCAAAATAATTTACCATTTTTTTAAGGAGCGAAAGAAAAATACTACCTCATTTCCCATACATATGTTGTTTAAAGAAAATGCAAGGATTAGTGCACATTTTATTCTAATAACTCGTTTTGAAAGATATTTTGAAAACGCAGAGCGTAGCTCTTGACCAAAATGTAAAAAAAAACAACAGAAAAGGAAGCAAGCTTCGGCAAGTCGGAGTTTGTATACCCTTCAGATATAAAACAAGATTTTTTTTGATTTTTATGAATATATTTTTAAGACAATTATGAAGTATAACTATTCGAATTAATTTAATAAACAGGAGTAAAGTTATAATTTGTCTTTGATTTAAGTATATCCTATCTGTAAGTAAGAAGGTAGGCGTTAGGTCAGCGCTTCTAAGGCCTTTGCCTGGCTATTTTTGATTATTATAAACTTTTTACTAAGTTTTTACATCAAATCTGCAATATAAATTCCAACATTTTTATAGAAAAGTTTCTACATCCACATATATGTTTATAGAATGCAATTGCAAAAATTTCTTAATATAAGAAGCTGGGTTGAGCGTGCTTTACACCCAAGCAAACGGGTCTTACTGAAATACCATTTTTTGACATTGCGGAATAGAAGATTTCAAGCAAACGGTTTGACAAAATGTCACGAATTTTGGCATTGTTGTGTATAAGGGTCTTGCTTATGGCCCGTATCAGAATTACCAGAAAATATTCTCAATTTTTCATATTACACAACAATTTGTGTCAAAAATATTTGAAAGTCGATGATGCTTGATTTTTTTCAGATCAGTTTGACCGACGGCATGCAGCCAAGAACGAGGTGTTTGGCGCGGCAATGCCCCCCTCCCCCCTTTGGATGGTCCGGCTCAACATTTTTCGTACATATTAATTAAAGATGTATCTACAATTAAAAAAAAGTCAGGTCAATAAACTCAACAAAAAAATCTTAGAAATTACGTTTTTTCGGCTGCACAAGGTAGAAATCCCCCTTAATTGTCGTTCCACATGCTTGTAAGACCCATACTAAGAGGTTACATGGGTTTCCTCGCGCAAAGAAACTGACCATTTTAAATATAATTTATTTCATATATAAAATGAAATATTGTATTTCAAATTTTTTTTGAAAAGATACATATTTAATAAAGATTTTGTGAAATTTGCAAAAATAAATATTCCAAATATTCCCTTGCAGCTATTGCAAAAATTAAATATTTTTGAAAACATTAAAATTATGATTGACTTGCGTTTATATTTAAAAACGTTGAAGTTATGATGATTTGCAGCTCATTTATTTTATAGTTCCTATGTCAGGTCGTCCGATTTTGATGAAATTTAAACCGTAATTCTGAAATATTTACCAATTACTAAATGTCGAAGAACTAAAAAGAAAATTAAAAAACAGTAAAGTTATAATTTTTTTCGTTTATTTTTCCGATTGTTCCTATGGGAGCTATATGCTATAGTCCAATCATGGCTAGATCGACTCTCCTAGTGGGACGCAAACGTCTCCTTCACTGCTTTGGAAACTTCTGACTGAAATTATAATACCTTCTGCAAGGGTATAAAATGCAGATTTTGGTGAAAATTAAACTTATTTTAAAGTATTTGTATCTGAAAAAAAACAAAGCCCTTGTTTATTATTTCTCGAAGATCGGTTGAGTAGTTCGCGAGAAATCTTGACAACCGACTTTAAAAACACAGTTTCGGGAAAAACCCATTTAATAAACAATAAGATAATAAAAGTCGGACAAGGCTTATTTTGTTATTGCTTTTAATTTTTTTTATTTTTACTTTTTTTTTTTGTTTTTGTTATTATACAGGGGGTATTATAATTTCAGTCAGAAGCTTGTAGCGCAGTGAAGGAGACATTTTAAAGTATATACATATATTCTTGATCAGCATCCCAAAGTTTTTCTTTGATAGCTCATGTGGCACCCATACATCGAGCTTTTTTGTGTATCCAGCCTTTGTTTAATGGTTCCAAACTGCAATGTTTAGCTCCTGGGCAATTAATTTACTGCTTGAATGACGTTCAGACTCAACGATTTCCATTATTTTGTCGGCATTTTTGACGATTGGCCTTCCGCAACATGCCTCATCTTTAACATCAAAATTTCCAGAACGAAATCGACGAAACCAGAATTTTGCATGGTTGGCAGTTACAGTATTAGGGCCATATATTCCATTTACATTTTCAGCTGCCTGGCTTGCGTTTTTGCCATTGTCAGGAGAAATTGTAAAATATAGCGAAGTTTTTCTTTGCCGGTCTCCATATTAATCGAACTCTCAAAGCGTATATGTAATCAATCACATAACTTTTCTAAGAAGCTTTTATAGTACAAAAGCTAAACTTTCTAAAGCCTTATACAACTCTAGATACAGATCACTAAAGTCATCTGTTGTTTAAATAATGGATTACTTTTTATTTGACCTTGTATAAAAAAAATTTTAAATTTAACTTTCTTTTTTTTAATTTATTTTTTAATTCTTTTGAACATAGTAATGGTTTTAGATTTCAGAATTACGTCAAAGCTTCAATATTTGTAAAACTACACGAATATAAATCAACATTTAGATATTTTAAAGACAATTTAATTTTGGCAATAGCTGCAAGTGTATAAAAACTTTGGCTTGCCGAAGAGACATCGTAAAATACGACCATCTGGTTCACCCCTCAACAACCCCGTTTGGGTCTTAGATAAAAAATGGCGAGTGCATTATTTTATCTCCAGTAATCAGAAGATAATAAATTGCAGCCTGGATTACTTTGGCAAAGGCATGGTCGACTT